GTGATCTGCACAGGGAATTGTAGTCAGCGCAGTGGACCGTCGACAGTGCAGCGGACTGTGTGATACTGTAGAAGTGATCAGTGCAAATAAATAATCAAGAAAACGGAGTCGAGTGTAAGAAAAATAAGTGAAGAACACAAGGACTGTATAACATACCTGTATACAGATCAAGTAGTTTTTAGTGTATAATTTTTTACAAATAAACGTAATTGTTAAATATTGAGTGCGTTTTAATTCACGAGAAACGTTACAATATATCTATCTATATATATCTATATATCTATATATATATATATACATACACGTACACATACGCATGTGTGTGTGTATCAAGTTTGTTCTGTGGAAATGTCTTGATTTTATCCCATAGTACTGTGCCTTCGTACTTTAACAATCACAAAATAATTTTTCTTTTGATTTTGACCCTGAAAGACCTTTTAATATTGAAATTACAGTGCCCTCTTTCTGGCCTGAATGGGAAATGATGTTAAATTCACCATCAGTCAACTCTTCAAACTACTCACTTTCAAAAGTCTTGAACTGACTGTAGAGCTCAGCACTGAATAATTTTTGTGTTATCAGCACAGAGAGTACTGAATGTTCTTTTATGCTTTTGGTCAAAGTATCCCTGGTTTATGGTAACAATTTTGTTTTTCTTTGTTCTATGTGAGCATTTAAGGAATTGGAATATATGCATGTGATGATGTAGACAATATTCTTATGAAAGGAAATAGATTTAACTTAGAACTAAAGCTGTTTGATTTCTGATTATGGTAATCAAAAATGGGAAGTTTACTTGGATGCAATTAAGACAAACACGTGAGGAAATATCATTGCTTTTGTGTACAATGTGCTGCAAATACTGTAACGATTCAATTTTTTCATCTGTGTTTCATTTTAGAAGAAATGACTACTCACTATCAAAATAAAAGCAGGTTCTTTGTTTGAATAGGTTTCGACTTTTTCAAATCTTAAATGAAGTGTTAGTAGGGCAGAAATTACAATATTATAATGCTATGTAACTGTTTCCCATAATGCAAAATATCTGCTGTTGAGTACCTCTAAGTTTCTCTGTAAGATTCGGCATACATAGCAAGAACATAAGTTATTGCAGATAAATTACTTAAAGGAATAAATTCGTATACCCTTCTTTTGGAAATATCATTTCTAATAATTGAAGATGCTTCATTGTTGGGTAAAGATCATAAAATGTTCAGCATTTGTTTTTAAAACTATCCACAACTCTTTTGTTGTGAGAATTGCGGAGAATATTTTCCTGTTATAGAACAATAATGAGAATACGTACCTATAATTCTTCAAGGTTTCTAAACATCCTAATGATGAATACAAAGGAGATGAGTGAATTTATAATTTATTACAGATTTTTGTAGCTTAATATTGAAAAACAATTACAAATTTCATATTTTTTTTTGTAATCAATGAGATTTTGATTATACCAATCATTTGCCAGCTCATATTTGGCTAATGATCTATTCCTTAATTTTCTTTGACTCTTTAAAATTTCATTGATCCCAAAAGGTTTGATACTGACCCTGTTATGAACCACCGGTCTGGAAGGAGGAAGTGATCTGCACTAGTTTGCACTGTAACACTTAGCTGTTAAACCGTCTTAACATAATACCTTTAAAAACAAATTTAACGGAAAATAGATAGGAAAACAACTTTTCATTTGCATTCCAAAGGGCAAATGTTTAGATAATTGACAGTCTGTTGGTACTGTCAGTGTCACTGATAATCTTAACTCATTTAAAAATGACCATGATACCAAAAGCACATATTGATGATAGAAACCCAAAGTTCACTAAAATACTTTAGTTCTGAAATCAAAATATGCCATTTTTTATTCTGTCAAAGTATTACAAATTATGGGCAGCACATGCTAGCAACTTCTGTACACATTAAAATATGACAGGTTTGATAACATTTGAAAACAAACTGTCATATCTAATCATGAAAATATTATTTACGGTAAGAAATACTATTATGATTTAGGACACATATGTACATACTGCAATACACAATTACAGGACTTGAATTATCACACAGTGTATGAATAACTTCAATACCACTTTCCGCAAACAGTTTTCATTACATTTTAATTAAATTTTGACAGTGTTGAATCCTTGCAAAATCAAGAATCTTGAGATTAAGAAACTGTTTGAAGAAATTGCACAATTTCATGAAGACTATACATTCATTTTAAAAACTTAAAATATTATGGAATAAATCAATCTAAAATTAAGAATAACAACAACTTAATGGAGTACAGTTGTCCATAAGAGCTGCATGTAAAATGAATTGCATGTTGGTACAACTTTAATTTGTCTAAAAAAACATTTTTACAAAAATTGAAGACCTCAATTAGAACTACTAAGAGCTTCGAGGAACTTTGTCATAACACATTGAATATGTTTTTACAATCAGTGATATATCACTTACTGAAAACACATTAGAAATAATAATAAATAAATTAAATAATTTCATGTACTGATTTTCCTTTTAGTTCTAAGTTGCAAGAAATTAAGCATTTTGTAATGTTCAATGAAAACATTACATTAATTTAATGATTTTAATAGCAATTTCCCAGAGAAATATCACCTATTTCAGGTCTTCTGCTAACATTGTATTGCATTATTATGCATTGCATTATTACCTATTGTAAGTCTACAAGTAGGCAATAGTAATGCTTTTCAACGAAATGAACAAATTCTGTAACCATATTAAAGAAATGAATCTGCTCATAAAAGCTAATTACTTCTTGAATACCATGATATAACATAATATATGATGCATCTCATAATTTGGTGTAAAAACTACAACTAATTGTGAGATTAAAAAAATTCACTTCCTAAATCAATTCAGAAAATACAAACAAATCAATAAAGAACTTTGTATATAATTTTGATATTTTTTTAAAAGTTTGTATGTAACTTCGACCACTGATTGCAAAACCACCTATTCTAAGGTCTATGACTGCAAAACATTCCATTAAATGAGCCTTGATGCAAATATATTACCATCAACAAACAAATCAAACATACATGCACATGCAAAATGTTCATATTTTTTAAAATAAGCAATTCCATTCATTTAGCACAAACAAAAGAAAATATTATACAAAATCCTAAATTTCACTTACACATAACATGATAATAAAATAAATATATTTTTCTAATGAATGTTGGAAAGTTGGGAAACAAATGACAATTGCCTACACAAATCCTATTTGTTTTACATGACATTGGGCAAAAGCGATGATATATCATTATTGCAGGTGCACAAAGTAAGTAAAGATCTTAAGTATTCAAAGAGAAAACAGGAACTGTATGCACAACCAATTTCTCAAATCAATGTTAACTGAACACAGTTACATAACTATCCCCTTAGAAAAAAATTGATTTGCTTAAAAATCCAAATTCAGTCACAAATGAAACAGGAGATTATAAAATGAGAAAATAACATTTATAAAATGAATTAAAGAATAATTCATATGTATCAGCCAGAAATATTGGGAAAAAAAACAGGTACCCTTTTATCAATACAAACTCAAATAATTGAAATTTTTAATGTAATGAAAAAGGTTTCAGGTCAGTTCACAATGAATCCTATTGATTTGTATTTCATTGACATCATTTCTTGACTCTAGGAGAATTAAGGTGAATGTTTGTCAAGTATTTTTATTATAAGTTATTTTACAGGTCATAGCTTTAACAAAATAAAATGATTTATCTGAGAACAATAAGATAACACTTTAGATTAGTAATAATCTTTTATGCAATTTTTTAAAAATGTTTTACACATCTGATTCTCAAAATCAATAAATATTGAATTTTTGAATCAATAGACATAAAATGAATCCTTATTTAAAGCAATGTACAATATACATATCTCCATTTCAACATAATGGACAAGTTAATTAGATGCAAAATGGAAAATCAGCTTCTAATAACAGCAACGTGAGATTTAATATTCTCAAAAATTTGTTTAAAGAACAATTGCCAAATACTTTCTTTCTGGCAGATAAAATGAATAACTTCATGGATTATCTAATTTCTCATCAAATCATCTGTTCCATTTTCACATTAAATGAAACTGCACCAAAAATTAAGTATGATCTCTAAAATAACACTATAAACATTAAGTAAAATAATGTAAAATTGGCAAATCTCTTACACCTATTTTAAAGGTCCGAGAATCAATATACAACAGTTATAAGACAAAAGTAAGAGTATCACAGGGAGGTTACATTTAAAGAGTTCAACCACTGTGCCATTTAATTCATTTTGTACATTTTGCAAATTTTATTACTGCTCAGCAACTTTCACACCACCAAAATTAGCAGCTATTCTTGACTTCTTTTGGCGAGGTTTAGGAGTTCCGCTGTGCCTGCCTTTTGAACTCTCCTGAAATTAAAATAAGAATAAATAATCATATTTAAAATTACATATTTGTGAAATAGAAATGTAAAGACATTCCAAAATAAATACACAAAATTGAATTTTATTTCATTTTAACAATACTTCCACTTTACCACAAAATCTGAATTCAACCTCTTGCCTGAAGCAGAGGTGTAGAAATGATTCACAAATCATATTTACTAAAACACTTAAAGGGATTTTTTTTCATTTCATCCAAAATATACAAGAATAATAAAACAAATGAATTCAAATCTAGATGATTTATCTAAACTAATAGTGCTCACACACATTCTCATAATGTAAAAATTATAATATGGAACTTATCCACGGTGAAAGAAATTATATGGGTCATTATGGGGATAATATTACATGGCATTATAAGGAGTTTAGTGGTCATATCTATTTTCTCTTGAAATAGTAAAATATAATGTTGGTTGAAAGAGAGGTGTGTGTTGGTTTCAATTGTTATAGATACGTGCAGCACTGTACTTACTGGTTTCATATTGACTTTGTTGGAATCTTTAGGTAAATTTTCTTTTGAACTTGTTTCTCCCACATTTGTACCTTCCTTACTAGACTGTCCAGGAGATTTGTCTGGGTTTAACATTTTTTCAGATTGCTGCAACAGAGATTGTAATGGGCCTTGGTGATTTTGTTCCTGTTTTGATTTCATGTGCCACTGGGGTTGCAATTGCAGTTGCTGAGGCTGCTGTTGAAGTTGCTGTAATTGTTGAAATTGAGACTGTTGGCGCTTCTGCTGCTTCTGCTTTTGTTGTTGTTGTTGTTGTTGTGGTTGTTGTTGTTGTTGCTGCTGGGTGCCAGATTTGCTTCTTTGTTGCTTAACAGCCTGCAAGGGTACAAACTGAGACCCTTGGCGTGATTCATCTCGCCAATTTGTTCGTGGAGGAGTTCGAATTTGCTGGAAACGTGAAAAAACCTTCAAGCCAAATTAAACGCAAATACAAAGGTGATAGTTAATATTTTTGCATTATCTCTCACTAAGTTTTCAAATTTTATAAAGAGAAACATTTAAAAAAATATACACAAAATGAAATTAGAGCAATGTTGTCTTAATATTGTCTAACATTCATGGCCTTGCATTTTGCTACATCTCAATTTTTTCTAAAACTCAGTAGTACACAGATTGATTTATTTACAATATTATGTATTATAATATTTGGACATCTCTTTATTACGTTTCTTTAACAATAAAAAAAGGGAGCATAAATTGAAAAAAGGAAATTTTAAAAAATATTCTTTTATTATATATCAAATTGCCCTCAATAAAATAAAACCCTTCTCACACATTGAGAAGGACCTACCACAAATGATAAGAATAACACTGCACACCCAATTTTCAATGACCATAAGTCTTAATTATTCTCTTTGGTAAAGTAGTAATCTACCTTCTCAGGAAAAACTGACTAGCACGGGAGGTGGCAGAGGAGGAATATATTTTGGGGAATGAAGAAAAAATTATTGAGAGAGGAAGGGTGTCATGTCAAATTGTTGAATGATGTTGGTATAGAGTTCAATAAGTTAAATGCAGTAGTTAGTTCTAGATCATGTTCTTCAAACTTGGTAATGATTTTAGGCAGTTTTGAAGTATACATATATGTTAGTTCGCTTTTGATTCCTTCATTTGCAGCCATTATTTCTGAATTAATAAACGTAGCATCTGTATTCAATAAAGGAAGTATCTTATTAAAAACTTCAATGTGTAATCAGTGATAATGTGAAGCTTTGAGCCATATTCCCCATCTAGTAAGAACAAGCTGTTAGTTCCTGTTTGAATATCTTTGTTCTCAACGGAGCTTTGACAAAAACTCCTCACTGAAGAAATATTAACTTTAGGGTGCTGCGAACAAATTTCTTCGGCAGCACAACCCAGGCCGTGAACAATGAAAGTAATGTGGAGCACTTTGGGATTGAACATTTTAAGAACTATTGCTGCTTTCAGCTTTCTCTCTTCATGCTCCTCAGCTGAACACAATAATCACAATGCTCTCTCTTGCAATGGTGGCATGGTTTCTTTTCTCAGTGTAAGACTATAAGTGAATGAGATCTGCATCTTTGGAACCCAATTTACCCACAACCCCATTAGCTACATACTCTCTACAGGAATCAGTTGTTTCATCAATTCAAAGCCAGGTGAATGAGTCTTCTATGTCATCGACAACTTCTTTGAGCACTTTTTCATAAAGAGGACTTGGAAAATTTTATGGATGCAATTCTTCAAAAATTAAACAAGTGCCTCATATAAACCTCCTGAGTGAACTTACTATATTCATTTTCCTTTGGCTTCAAATCTAGAAGAGGTTGAATTGCATTTTTTGATGCATTTTATGTGAGATGCAGTTTGAAAATGTCGATGCACTTGACATTTTTTGTCACAGTTCACCTGCTTTGAACTTAACAAAATCCTTTTTTCCCATCCAAAGTTAAAATTCTCTCTCCTGCAATTCACCTTGCAAGCAGGGAAGCACACAAGCCCTTGTCATTTGGAATGCTATCTTGTTTAATTTACACACTACACAGGTTATCGAGATCAGCGAATAATAATAACAATAATAATAATAATAATAATTTTAAAAAATCGAAAACCAAATTGCCCAAGCTAGACAAGATATCTCGCATATTGCTGAGTATTAGAGACAAAGGAGGGATTTCAAAGAAGATTCGCACAACTATTCGCTCAATTCTCAAAAGACTGAAGATAAAACGAGCTGGAAAGAAGACTCAAGGTTCAAAATGAGAAGTTAAGACAAAGAATAGTAGGTCTAGGGGCAAGAATAAGAAGGCACAATGGATCCGTGTGAAGAAAGAAAATTCCATATTCTCTAACAAACAAAAAGGCTTTTATAGATATCTAAAGACGTGACGTACCAACGACAAACTCTCTACGTGTTTCTGCCTTGAACGTTTGTCTCCGATTTGGTCCACCCCAAAGCAACATTTTGATGAAGCATACTGGATACAACAGGAAGATGAGGCTTGTTACAATATTCCGGAAATGGAGTTGTGATCTCAACAGAGGATGTTAAAGGATCTATAAAGAGAACCCACAATTGGAATGCTCCAGTAGATGGAATACATGAGTCAATTTCAAAACATTTCGCAAGGAACATCTACGCTGCCAGAATTCTGTACCTTATGCGTGATATTCACGTTACCAAAAGGTGGAAATGCGTCTTGCCCCAAGAACTATAGACCTATACATGTCTACCTACAATTTACAAAATTCTCACCTCCATTATTGCCACCAACTTGACGAGCATTTGAAAGAAAATGAGCTGCTTTTGAAAAAAACAGGTTGGTTGTAGGAAAGGATCTCAAAGATGCAAAGAATTATTGATAATACATAATATTGTATCCAAGTATGTAAAAAAGAAAACAATTTATCAGTGGCCTGGATTGATTTCCGAAAAGCATTTGATTCTGTTCCGCATTCTTGATTGCAGTGCACCCTTGAACTCTACAAGATTCACCCCTGTATCATTAAATTTCTTTCAACGTGCATTAACAGCTGACGAACAACACTGCATGTTACGAGAGAGAAATGGAGTTACCAGACAGATTCTTTTGAGTAAGATGCTGAACGCATCAGGCTATGGATATGCTCTGAAGAATCCCAATAAGATCATTTCCCACCAATGGATGATCTCAAGCTCTATGCTAAAGGGCCAGAGCAACTTCACAGCATGCTGACCCTTGTTGAAAGCTTTAGCAGCTCTGTTTGTATGGATCTTGGTTTGGAGATGTGTGCTGTTCATGTTAATAGAGGTCACGTCCAGAATACAGAGAATGAACCTCATTTGATGGAAGATTGAGAATGCAAGAACTCTTCTATTACAATGAACATAAGTATCTGAGTCTCCAGCAGCTCCTAGGAACTGCAGATGAGAAAATGAGAAAAAATGCGGAAAGAAAGGTTCTCTCTCCTGTTATGAAAATCTGCAAGTTCTGTATTAATTCAAGAAACAAATTTACAGGAATTAACACTTGGGCTCTCTGAGCAGCATCACATACATTTGGAATTGTCAAGTGATCTGAGTCAGCTTTGCAAGCTTTCGATAGAAAAGTTAGGATCCTCGAAGTTCCACTGAAAGGCTATATCTTTCAAGACATCATGGAGGGTGTGAACTGTTAAGTCTTGAAGTTATGTGTCGCCAGCACGAAAAAAAGCTCAGAAATTATTTCAACAACGAATACATGACGGCCATCTGTGCACAAGATCTCGGCTATACACCTCTTAAGCTGCTTTAACAAGACCACAATCCACGTTTCGGAAATCTGAGGGCCAAATTGAGCAGTGGAGATCAAAGGAATTCCATGGCAATTTGCAACAGAGCTTTGAAGCAACTCAATCAACATGAAAAGGTCGACTGAATAGTTGAGAACTGCTGGCCTTTTAGGCGACTCAGAAGGATTTGTGCTGGCCATTCAAGATCAGGTAGTAACCACAAATAACTACATGCGATATATCATGAAAGAGAATATTGGTGATAAGTGTCGCCTGTGTAAGAAGGGCACCGAATCTAATCAACACATCTAACATCTGCAGAGGATGTTCTCAGTTGGCACAGATTATTTACGTCATAATAATGTGGCCAAAATGATTCACCTAGCTCTTGCCAAAAGATCGGACCTGATCAAGGAAAGCTTGCCCTCCTACAAATATCTATCGGAGCAAGTTCTGTCTAATGAGGGAATAAAATTATTGTGGGATACTGCTACTTACAGAAAAACAATTGGCCTGATGTTGTCATGTTCGACAAAATTTCTCGCAGGGCAATGATAATAGATATCGCAGTCACATTAGATTACAATCTGCTGTCAACAATTGCAGAAAACAAAATACCAGCCATTCTCAATTGAACGGAAAAACCTATATAAATTAATGGAGGTAAATAGTGTACCCAATGTTATTTTAACTAATGAACATGTTTGTGAAGATTGGAGGATCGTGAAAGAGAAACTCCATCTAAATGAATGGCACTTCAGAACCATGCAGAAGGTGGTGTTGCTGGCAGCCACCAACATTGTGCATAAGGCTCTCTCTTGGCCATTGAAGAGGAACCAGTGTACAGCGGAGCAAGAACTTCTCGCCACAGGTGTTGACCTTCTGTTCTTGAGTTATACCTGAAAACACCGGACGAGCGTAGAATTGCGAAAAACCGATGTAATAATAATAATAATAATAATAATAATAATAATAATAATAATAATAATAATAATAATAATAATGTTTACCAAAGTTCAGCCCTACGTCCGGGCAATCGAGAACTTGGCCACGTGGGCAACGTCAAAAAAATTGGCGGCAAACAGGGCGATGGAATATAGATGTGGAGACACGGAATATGCGTCGTAAGGCCTCGGAAAAGCAGCCGCTGCCTGCGGAGCTCCGGGGCACCTTCGGAGCCACCGCTGGAGGTGCCAGCATGTGAGCTGGTGGTGATCAGGAGCTGAACAGGCGGGCTTTGATCGGGGATAAACCCCAAATAAACTGACAGCCGAACATAGCAGCACCTATCCATTCCACTTATAGCTGCACTGCGCAAGGTGCTTCCCAGAGACCACTGCCGGCAGGCAAGGCAACGCACAAGGATGAAGTGGACTACAGAAATAAATACCTTCATCATGCGTAAATACTACACTTCTACCAAATGGGCCTGACACTACGGCCTACGACAAAGTTACATCAAGAGTTTTCTTATACGTTTCCCTGATTCTGAAGTTAGTGAGCAAAAGAATAGCAGACAAGCGTCGAGCAATTGTTCAGAAAAATCTCCTCTCTGCACCAGTTTTGGAAGCAATCAAGGAGGAAGTGAGAAAAATGCTTAACTCCTCAGAAACTAGTAATCTGAGGGCAGTTGAGATATCAGTTGGGCAAACTCAGGATAACAATGGGACAAGCAT